CCCTGTAGTCACGCCACTGGTGGTAGACCTGTTTGCCTAGACTGATTTGAGATATCTCCTTTAATGACGCTTATATTGTTGACATAATTATCAAGAATCTTTTCGTCAATATCGACGTCAACCTAATATTTAAGTATGTCTATATCTATACTAATATTATAAAGAGGAAAGAATTGATTGTTTGTTTGTTTGCATCGAATAGGCTACGAAACTACAGGACCTATTTTAAAAATTCTTTCACCTACGGGAAGCTACATCATATGCGGTGAACATAGGCTATCCAAAAAACAGCAAATAAAGGGATATGGGAGTGAAAATTTGTATGGGCAGTTAAACGTTGCCATAGTTACCATAGTTTACTCTTCATTTTGTTATTGTAATTATGTGCATGTCATGATATGAATCGATATCAAAATAAACAGTTCCTTATACCACGCCGTAAAGCCACTGGCGGAATGCTAATAAGGTATATGTTGAAAATTTGCTATGTATAAAGTAATTTCGGTGCACTTTGTTTATATATCTATATATATGTAATTTGTAAGTAATAAAGTATCTTATGATTTTTTTATAAACATCAGGTTTTATTAAATAAAATATGCTAATTTCTAGTGCGTACAACTGAAAATTTAAAAGATTAATGAACAAATTAACTTTTGGTAAAATATAAGCTAAAAACTCCTCTATAGCGGTGAATAATGAACCCAGTTAAAGGGTGGATCAAGAAAAATTGACATTAACGATTTAGTATAATTAATTACCTAGATCCTGCAAATCGGAAATCTTTGGGGTAAATTATAGATTAAACACCCTTTAAAATCGTACAAACAATGATGTGGAATGTGGTATCCACATAAAAATGACCTACCAGGGCATCAAGATATGTTTTCATCAACGCCAACCCTTTACAATTGTTCATCTTCTCGCACACCTTTGACCGAACCGTCTCGCAGATCATGGCTACTATTCTGTTTAACACCCCATTAACACGATACAACACTGCACGCACAACCGCCACGGGCCACTCTGTTGCACCGCCGACGAAACACTCAATTCACTTATGAAATTTACCGGACGCTAGGCAATTTTAATTCTCGACCCAACGTCCGTTCGCACTGCGCTCATTCGCAGTGTACTCAGTTAGATTTCCTTCATTTGTTTGTTTTTTATCATGATACAAATTTAAATTAAGAATACACTAAACTCTACGTACGTGATCGGACATAGTCTCCATAACGTTGCGGATTTGAAAAAAGAACTCGCCAATTGGCATCACCGCTCTTTTGTCTATTTTAAGAAAACAATTCTGTTGTTACACGACCTCTTTTCGTCGACAAAAGTTTAAAACTAAAGTTATTCCTTCCCGAATGTCTATGCGCGCTAATAGTATCTTTATCTAATGACCACTGATGTTAGTTATCTGTGCCCTTAATACACCTTCCGTCACTGCAAGTAGTGTACATTAATAACCGGCCCGTTTTGAAATACACTTTAATGACTTCAACTTCATTTTATTAAGGTGATTTCGTTATTTCGTCGTCACAATTAAGGACATGGTGAGTATTGCTGAATGTGAAAGTTAATTATATAATGTTTAGATAGACATCATTAAGAAAGGTACATGTTATATAAAAATATAAACATCTATTTACAAATTTAGTTCTTTTTTTTAATTATAATATTTATGTCTGTTGCAGAAAATCAAAAATAAAATATACTGGTATCACCTACTAGATCATAGATATAATATGGTCAGTTTCTCATGTTGTCTTAGTTCCCACATGCATCATTTAAACATGTGGTATACCACAGAGGCTCAATTATCTTGAAAGTACATGAGATCTTACCCAGACCTGAATCAAAGGTTATGATGCTGACTTTGACATCACATATTACTTTTTAAACTATTGTGACTGACTCTATTTGATTAACAGAAGCAGCGGAATATTTTTTGACTCTTAGACGACCCGGCATTTCCATTAATCAAAGAAAATAAAATAATGGGGTAAAATAAGACAAACGCAATAAAAAATAGGAAGGCAAAATGGCAATAAATTAATGTCAAAAGTGGTGAGTATTAAGTATGATATTTTATTTAACGGGAAATATAAAAATAATAGCTCAGTTTGAAAAAAATAAAAACAAAATAAGTGGCCAATATGTAATAGAGTAGAAGAATAAAAGATTAATAAAGCACAACTATCCTAACATTTTCTGATCTAGTTTTTAATTTTCTAGGGATGTACAACCCTCAACCCTCACCCCTCTCAACCCTCCTATCAACCCTCTTAACAAAAAAGTTCCGACTCAAACAATGGCCCACAATTTTTCGATATGTTAATTATTTCATATAAGGACAAGATAATGTGAAAAGCGATACTAATTTTAATTGCACCTAAACCTGCAATTTTTGATGTGCAGTAGGAACTGATGATTCTGTTGACCCCAGGGGTCTGCAGACAGGTTGAGAAACGGTGATGATAAAAAATTTACAAATTGTATTTTTTTTATCGATAAATTTTAATTAAATCTCATTTAAACGCTTCAGAAATACGATTTAGTATTCTAGTTATTAAATAAATATTCTATAATCTTATTAGAATTATAAATGTGAAAGTTTCTTTGTTTGGATGTTTAGATGTTTGGATGTTTGTACGTCAATCACGCCGAAACACCTAAATGGATTTTGATGAAATTTGGTATACATATAGGGTATTAGCTGACTTAGATAATAGGATACATTTTATCCCACTAAAGATTTCTCTAGGGACCACGCGGGCGACCCCGCTGGCGAAAGCTAGTAATATTATAAAGCTGAAGAGTTTGTTTGTTTGTTTGAACGCGCTAATCTCAGGAACTACTGGTTCGAATTGAAAAATTCTTTTTGTGTTGAATAGACCATTTATCGAGGAAGGCTTTAGACTATATAACATCACGCTGCAACTATTAAGAGCGAAGAAATAATGGAAAACGGGGACGAATTTGCTGGCGGCCACTAGTATTTTATAACTAGAAATCCACAATGTATTTTCTTTATTCGGAACTAAATTTAAATTAGTGGTTTTTAATTAAGGCGCCTTCTTAACAACAAAACTAATTATATTAAACTATATAAATATCTATAGAAATTTGAGAAACCAGTTGGATAGGATTGCAAACAACGGTAGCAGTGAGATAGAAATTAAAAACCTATCTTAATTCTTGACGCGAAGAAACCAGTTTGCATAATGCTGTTCATGCACTTTTAACGCGTTTTATAATTCGTGTATTATAATGACGTAACCGTTAATAATTGAATAAATAATAGTGAACATTTGAATAACGTTTCGATGTATAATGTATTGACGAGTCAAACTGATCGCATTTTAACGACCCCCCGTGACCGAGTGGTTCGCACAACGGTTTCTTTACTATGTCTGAAGTCCCATATCGATACCCGTTCTAATTAATGTACAAAATAAACCCATCTAACTGAACTTTCCAATGTTAGTACATACTTAGCTGTCTTAAAGCCGGTTTCTGAATTGAGAAAAGTACAACTACAAAATCTCAACTGATTATTCTCAATAACTTATATTTTTTTTTACATTTCAGAAGTCAATAACCGAAAACCTGTTTAAGTACAGTTTGAGACGATATCAACTTTAAATTTTCAATCCAGAAACCGGATGTTAGAGTAAAAGAATTTATAATTGCAATAAAAATATATTTGTCTTATACAGTAGCGAATTAGGTTTCACACAATTTGTAACCCACTGCTGCGCGACCCACATTTTGGGAAATACTGACACAGAACGTTTAGTTTTCTTTTCAATTACGTACGCGACCCCTTAAATCTTAAATTTTATATCGATACAACATTGTAATATCCAATATATACTACTATACATAATAGCTTATTACTCTATACGAATATATATTGTTTAGTATCTGTTCCGTTTGAACTATAACATAATTATACTTAGATTTTTCACGATTCAAACGTCTTGAAAGTATCTCTATATCAAATTTCATCTCTTACTATAAGATTGCGAAATCTTGATAAATTAATGTTAATGATAAGTATAATAAAGAGAAACAATACAGTTTTTTTATTACGACATCTATAAATATTAAACAATTTAAATAAACTCCTAACATGCAATCATAACAATATAAAAGACTATAATCAAAATAAGCAGCCACATAATTTCTTATTTATTTTTAAACGTCGTGTTGAGAATTAAAAAATATCTAGTGAATAATTTCACTTTCGTTCCATCTGCCTATTGATGCCTTTTTCTGTATTAAACGCACAAAGAGTCGTATCCATAGCAAGATTTAATCTTAACTTACAAGCTATTAAGATTTAAAGTGCTCATTTGTAATTGATCACGGCCAAGTACACCGACTTCTAGATGAGAGCAACGATATGGACCGACAGGCCTCCATCAAATATGAGTAACAGCTTGTTCAAGAGAGCGGTCGGCGTGCGATCACTTTTGTTCAACATTCATTATTCTGACAGCGGCTGTATGGTTTACTGACTCGTATGCTGATGAGGAGACGTGTGTGAACTTTTATTAGTAACTACATATTAAAAATATATGTTTTTATAACATTTACCATATTAATGAGGTGATTACTAATATAAAAGTACTTTAAAACTCAATCAAATAATCTCTCCATATTCTAATCAGCAACGGAATTGTGTAACTGAGGGAATCAAAGTCACTTTTAGGCGGTAATAGCTAGAGTTCGAGCCCAAATTTTTGCACAAGAATTTTGCCCTTCCCACTCCGGATCGATTAAAGGATTTTTTGTGTTAAGTATAATGCCGTGGATATTATCTACAGTACTTATTGTTACTTAGGAATCTTCATAAATATTCTAATTATTGCTTATCTTAACCAATATCATTTGTTATCACATAGATAACAAGTGCTTTAGAAGAATGGACCAGTTTTCAATGTGCAAAAATGCAAATTCTCCGTGTATTATCTAATATGCAATAGACTCACCTCAAGATCTCTGAAGACATCTCTGATATCAGGTTTCTTCGCTCTGGACGCGGCACGCTTCTTTCTAACAGTTCTGTTGAGTCTCCTGACTCGGCGTCTCACAGCAGCCGCCTGTTCCCTGGGCAGCGGCCGCACTGCCTCACCCAGCTGAGCCTCGGTCACTTCCAAGCCAACTTGAAACGGAGCTGCGAGGGAGCCGAGTCCTGCAGCTTGGAGCCATTCCGCTTCCAACTCTCCTTCTGTTAACAAAGATGATTACCATGTCAGTCATATTTATTAACAGTAATGAGTAAAAAGAGAATCTAACAAAAACTATAAAGATTAAGACAAGGAAGGTTAATATGATTATATTGAATTCGCGGTTTAATTTCATCTATTTAATGTGGGACTATATTAACCCAGTCCCGCAGATCGGATTAATGCAACACTTCGTCAAAATTAACTTTCAAGGCTTCCAAAATGTCAATAATTCGTTTCTTTTTTTTTAATTTAAACACAGTAACAACTTTAATTAATTGGTATAATTTATTATAGTTGGCTAACAAAAATTTATTTCTAAATAAAAAAGTCCGCTTTTTGTTTTGACAAATAAAAATATTCCAAACGCTAATAAAGCTAAAAAATAGTACGTACTATTTTTATTATATTGCGCTACATACGAGTACAAGCTCAAACGCACATGAAAATTCACATTGATAAAAGAATCTATATAAAACATTAATACAGAGTGAAAACAAATGCAAATGTTTAAGTATACTTTCTAAACAAACATACAGTTAGGTGAAAAAGAAAAGAGTTTTCAATCCACTAAAGAGAATTAGATCGTTCACCTATGATCGAAGGTTTGATAAACACGCTCATTGAATATAAAAAATGCTCGCGTTATCACACTTTGTAATCAAATTTGACGCCGTAACTCCAACATGAAACGATATAGATACCACAGAGCACGTTCGACTACATCAAATCAGTATAATGCAATGACAATACTAAAAAGCTATGGTCATCAACAGTTAATAAATGTTATGAGGCTACTAACAAAAATTACAGATGATTTTGTCCAAACTTCACTGGTCATTGTTCGTGATTGAACGTAATTACGCTCAAATTGACAGTAAGAATAATGTATTTTAAAATACTGATTATAGGATGCACACTGGCCTTGTACATTGAACAACACACTGTAAATCATAGCAAAATAGATATCCAAAAATGTACTAAGCTAGGAACTATCTCAAGAAAATAGAGAAAATAATAACTAAATTCGGGAAAAATACAGTTAACTGAATTCAGTAATTAATTTAGTGATTAATATATATTAAAAAAAAAATGTACTGAATGAAGAGCTAGAGATAGCGACCTCGTTAAATTAGGGATGATGACTGGGTAAAAAAAATGCAATTCTATTTAGTCCGTCAGTCAGATAATAGAAAAATATTAGATACGTATTTTTTTTTACTTCAATATAACAAGAAATAGCTTAGATAACAGGCATTAAAGTTGAGGAGTGGGGGCTCGCTACGTCACAGTTGAGTAGAAAACGTACTCTAACGTGACCTCATGCGAAATTTCAACTCAATGTAACGCCGTAATTTTATGATTACGAAAAAAATAAAAAAATACGTTTTTAATTTTTTTAACACTCTACCTGACAGACAAACAAACAAAAATTAGTCACCATCCCTATTTCATTTGTTTTGCTCAATTCAATATATGCACCTTCTTAAAAATAAAGAAATTTGACTGTGTAATGGGTTATCTGACGTATTGTTGAGTATTTACTACAGTGTTACATCTATTTTAAAGAGTATATCGATCAAATCAACAATTAAGAATCGAATAAAAACTCGATAACAACTGTTCTCTTCACGATGAATATGTATGAGACAATGGTTAAAATTTTTTGTGTCTACAATGTTCCTTAAGTGGTGTAAACACGTAAATAGTAGGTAGGTGTTATGTACATGCGTCTTTTATTACTTAGTCATATTGTTTACTTACGACATTCTTTATATCGCATATGATATGTTTTTATAATAGACTAAGCTGACCCTGCAAATTTTATATTGGCCTAATTCAATAAATTCTTCTTCAAATAAAATCAAATTTACCCTGTGTCACTTTTTGTAGGAAATGTAGCTTAATTTTGGTGAGAGAATTTTTTAAATCGTTCCAATTCATGAGTTTATCAATGACAAACAATTAAAAATTAGTTAGTCTTGATAATATTGGTATTGAGATAGATAAGCTATTAGAAACTACAAAATGTATAAATCTAAACGAGAAACACTAACTTTTTGTAACTACAATCTGAATACTAAGTGTAAGTTTTACGTTAACGCGTTAGTGGGCGCGTTAAGAATTTGTATAGAGATTTGTAGTTATTGGTGGTTAGCGCTAGGGGCGCTGTATCCGATTCCATACTAAGAAACCTTAACGCGCTTGGTGACCGCAAGTAAAAAAAACTTACACTAAGCGCTATGAGCATATATATCAGTTATAACTTTATGATTGCTTAACTACCTCAATTAATAAAATAATGATCATTATACGTTCCTATCGTTATGTTCCCTGTATAAAAATAATGCGAAATACAGACATAATAATGCAATAAAGATCGTCATCACAAAGAGTATAAAAACAGTATATATTATGATATTAAATTTCTTAATAAAAAAAATGTTTCAAGTCAAAATCACTTAATATATCGTATGATTTCATTGAGTTGTTGGATAGAAATGAAATACGATTTAATTATTAACCGTCTTCAAAATTCAAAAGAAGGAGGTTATATGTTCGACGGCGATGTATGTTTTTTATCTATGTTCACCGATAATTCTGCCAATTGTTGACCAATTTTCAAAATTTTTGGTCCAAAAAAAATATGATATTTAAATGGGATCACATTAAAATATATTTTTTTAATGAGTAGATTTACTTTTAGAAGAAAACAAAATACGTTTTTCACCATATATCACCTAAGTTTTTAGATGAAATGTATTGTATTTCATGAATTTCAGTTAAAAAACAAAAGATTGCGTATTTTGAATTTATTCAAAATCCGAAAGGAGGATTTTGTGCAAAAGGCTTCGTCATGGTGATATACTAAATATTACAATACATAAACTTTGTTGCTTACTCAAAAAGATAAGATGATTGTACTTATGACGACCTCTGTGGCAGAGTACCCGCGCGCTTTTTCAATGTGTCGCCATCTATGACCTTCTTATCAGTTATTCAAGTGCATAGCCCCTTGAAACGATCAATACGCATTAATTCTATTGAAATCCGATACTGTGTTCCTATATTTTCGGTAACGTTACTCCAGGCATCCAAGTTATTTGTGTTTCAGCGCTACAGGACGTGTTTATACGGCGTTCCCTTTAGCAGACTATTTATAGAGGTAACATCCCGAGAGTTATCCGCCGGAACAAGCGATTAACTTTTTAATTTACTGCAAAAGGAGTTAAGATCTTTTTCTATAGACTTAGTATATTCCTAGTGTTTCTTTTCTTCCTCGCCAAGGCTAAGGGATCATCGTAACAGGCTTATGTATTTTGGGGATATAAATAATTAGTGTAAAAATATTTACTTAGTGAAAATTTAATGCGCGAGTACCTACTCAATCAAAAGTTATAGGACGTCTTGATTCATGTAAATTCAACTCTAATGTAACGACTTGTGCTTATGAGCATTTCGAACTTTCATAAAGTCACAAATATTGTTTGCTAGTTAATAGTACCTACTTCTGAATGAGTTATTTAGAATTCATTATAGGAGTTAATGGCTGTTAGACTTTATAAATATACTGAACGCTAAAAAAATATAATAATAGTAACATTGCGTAAAAACTTAAGAGTAATAAACTAAACATTATTATCAATAGCTAATCATCAGAGTAGTTAATTTTTGTTTGTAATGACTAATGGACAATATTTCAAAGCCATGGACATCATGAAATTAAAAAAAAAAATTAAATGGATAAGTAACCATGACTGCAATGAGAGGTTTTATGAAATAAACTTCAAATTAATGCGAACTGTCGTTAATCGTTCGGATGTAACCGGATTGTAAGTGTTCCTGATGATATGGATGTGTAAACATCCGGTCGTTTCCCGCCACAACGTTCATCGCACCGGCCACCTCGCGGTAACAAAACAATTAACTTCTACCATTCTAGATTCTAGTAAACACATATTACACTAAAAACCCATTTATTAATCTGCCTTATTAAAACTACACTATTTAAGCACTAAACAATTGTTATGAGAGCCAAAAATATGTTAAACTTTTAACCAGATTACTGTGTTGAATAGTGACGACTTACCTATTACATATTTTGCGTGAAACCGACATAATGCACCCATAACACACATTAGAAATATAAAATCACTCACACAGTCATTTCCTTAACTTTTTTTTTAATTATTTCGTTAATTTAAAAAAGAAAGATTACCATTTGTTTGGACAGAAATACAGAACTGTTATCATAATAGACAGACATTCCAATTTTAAAAAGCACAATCATTGCGCAAGCGCTAATCGTAGGAGTAGTCATGTAAAAAACACATAGGTTGACGCTGATAGTGTGGGGGAGTGTCTCGGTGATTAGTCACTAATTGTAACGTCACTGGGACATTCGGTGACAACAATTATAACCCGAGGGGGAGGCGACATTCATTTCTATAGATGTACAAACTCGAGATACACCTACAGTTACAATTTCAAATTCCTTGATGGTTCTTATAAAGTAGCAAAGATAACGAAAGAAGGAAAGAACTAAAAAGTTATTATATCAGACGTTCTTTTTTTTAATATTGATGTGCTTTTTATGTGATTCAAGTACGTCACTGCTTGTAGTGCAATTAACAAAAGACGCGTATCGCGTTTAGCGCGTCGCGGCGCGCGTCGTACTGCGCTTGGGCGGCGGACGGACGCGTGCGCGTGCGTTCATTATGCAGTCGCTCTTATTTATAGAATCAGGGATTCAGTCTCGATCAGATTGATCATAAAACTAAGATGGGCATTTCCGATCAACATTAACGTAAGTGGACGCGGAAGTAACGCCCGCGAGCTTCATAATACTGACGATGCGTCATGCCTTCACCATGTTTAAACGTATGACATAAAGGTGTATGATTATAAACTAATACATATAACCATAGGTACAATACGCTTAAGTGATGAGGGTACCTAATCTATTTTATTTTTATGGGGCGCACATGCAGTTTTTAAGAAGC